CACACTCTTTTTTTTCTATGATAAGTTTTTCCAATAATAGTACCGTTTTCATCATATACGCTTCTTTCATTCTTTTCATGCTGACGTTTAATTCGTTTATGAAGTTTTCGGCCTTGTGAATTTATTATTAAACAGGCTTTACATTTGCAAATTACTTTTTCAGATTTATTTGAGTTTTCCATTTTATATTATCTTATAATAGAAAAGCCAAGTAGTATAAAATTAAAATTTATAGAAAAGTTCACTCAAAAAAGTCTTGTTTTTCATCATCAAAGAAAAATATAAAATTATCGATAATTGATTTAATAACATTGTGCCTTAGATTGCGTAACTGATAAATGGCAATATGAAATACCTGTTTAATACTTATTTGTATTGATAACACAAATAGCCAATTACTGAATTAGAACACAAATTTTGACTATTCTGACAAATATGTGTGAGGTAAAAATACTTGAATACTAATGTTAAATTGCCTTTGTCGAACTAATACAAAATGACAAAAATAAATTTTATATAATATAATATCACGACTGATTATGAAATTCAGATTAATGCATCTGATTGGTTAGGGTTAGGGTGATCTGCAAATGTTAGCCAATAGGTTTTTTAGATTTCACAATTATCCAAACTTTACAATCAGCCGTGACAATATATAATTCTATAGCTCCAACTCCTAGATTTTATCTTTACGCATTACGTATCTTTATACATTGTTTATTTACAAAATTAATTTTTCTTTTTTGTTTTTATTACTAGTACGATAACGATAAGCTGCTAAATACAGAAATATGAGACAAAGATCTGTAGTTATAAATAATTTAAACAATAAATGATCTACAAACATTGTTGTTGTTTACAATTTTATAATGACAACTTCAATTTCTTACTCATACTTATCTCAAAAAATTACAGACTGTGAACTCCCATCCCAAGAAACTTTTAACACATTTTCAAAAGTTCAACAAATAGAAATTTTAAAAGTATGCTACAATGCACAAAAAAAATTGCTTAATAAGCTACTTGAAGATAAAAGAATAGAACATGCCGATATTGAAATTCTAGTTGTACAACTACCTAAAAGAAACAAAACTCAATCATCGAAGTTAAAACTATGGGAACTTTGTCCTTGGTTGTCAAAAGATTATTTTTCAAAAATCAAAGCTGATTTTACTCCACATCTTGAAGAAAACAAAATTACAGAACTAACAACATGGTCGCAGTTAGGATATTCAGCTAGAGAAAGTTGGGTTGAAGATGTAAGTCAATTATTACAGAAACTATTATGAGGTTAGTTAAACATGAGGTTAATTAATATATTTAAAGTTTGATAATTATAAAAATATTAATTGACCTCATATTTAGCAATCTCATATTCATCTCTTACATTAAGCTATTTTCACCAAGATGTGAACAATGATTACAATATATCTACATCGAAAATCAAAGAATCTGAGTCTACATTCATTCACACTTTTATGAAAATAGTGTTAAGTATGTAGAATTGAAAAAAAATCTATTTTTAAAAATATTTATAGGTTGTTATTAGCTTATTCGGCTCTATTTATTAATCTGTTTTTATAATAATTAAATATGCAAGCCGTGTTAAGCTGATAATATCCCTACATATTTATGAAAAGATAAAGTTTACTAATTTTTCCCGAAGTTTCTCTTGGATACAGAAATTTTGGTTCTAATTAGAAGAAATAGATTACAAAATCAAAGCATATTCAAATAACAAATATGTTGTAGGGTTAGTATTAAGGTTGATAGAACATATGTTATACTGTACTAATGTTTTGTAATGAATTTTTTCTTTGAACATAACGTTATTGCATAATCTATTTCATCCAATAAGAAATCATTGCAAATTATAATGTCATAGGAATTTACAGATTTTTCTTGAATTTCCTAGTGCACTAGCACTAAGAAAAATCGTAGATTTTCTATAACATTGTATCTGCAATAGAGCACATCTTTCTGCAAACAGAGATAATATATGTCTAATCAGAACTTGGGGAGAATTAGGCTTTCAAAAAAAAAAAGTTCAATTACAGTAATTTGAAAGAGTGATAAAATTAAATTTGAATTTAAAAATTTTGATTTTTTTAATAATTGATATATTTTAGGTATATAATAAGCATAGGCTTCAAATTGGTTCTAATAAGTGGATAGTGCAGGAATGTTTAAAACAAAAATTAAATGACAGAGGTAAAGCAGTAATATTAATATTATTTAAATAAGCATTTTTTTAATATCATAAAATTCTTTAAATTTTTAATAGCTGATAATTTCCGAAAAAGAACTAAAAGAAAAAATGACAAAGTTGTTAAACCGAATGTATTAGTTGAAAGTAGTGATGATGAGTCAGAAATTGTACAATGATCTACGAGCAATTTTATGAAATATATAAGGGCTAACAAAAAAATATAGATTTAACTTTTGGATCTAATAAAGAATGCGAAGAAGTTGGCAAAGAAATTGACCAAGAAATTAACCAAGAGATGCATCCAATTGGTGAATGTATATTTTATATTATTATATTATTTTATATTAATTAATTATTATTTAATCCTGTAATTATTATTATTATTATTAATTAGACGATAATGATGACTTAGACTTTTTTAGAAATAATTCTTATGATAACTATGATGGTTCTACCTCTAATAGTTATGCAACACCCTCTTCTAGTAGTTACCTTGCTCCTGCGTCTAGCAGCCACACTATCTCTACTCCTAGCAATTATGTTATCTCTGCATCTAGCGGCCACATTACTTCTGCTTCTAGCACCCTAGCCTCTGGTAGTTATATTGGTCCTACTTCTAACAGTGATAATGAGACGAGAGAAAATATTTTATCACAAAATCTTAATGGTAAGTTATATATTAAAATTATAATCAACATTTAATTTAATAATTTAATTTAATTTAATTTGACCTTACCGGTATTTACAGATACCTTACAACAAAGCTTATCTATTAAACAAATTACTAATAGAATAAGCAGCCGAACTCGACAGAAAAGTGATACCAATTCCAAGAAATGTGATCAAAAATTAAAAGGTTCTTTACCAAAACGGGTTCGAAAAGAGGATACTCAATTACTAGCTAGCAAAAAAAGGTCAGGAAAATTCAAAGGCTAAAATAGATGGTAAACTAGAATAAGAATAATTAGAAAAAAATTCATTTAAAAAAATGTTTTTATAATTATTTTTTTTTTAATATATATATTAATATATATATAAAATAAAGTTTAGTTGCGTAAAGAATATAGTAATCAATATTGTATAAAAACATAATATTAATTTAAAAAAAAAGTTATGAGAAGGTTCACTAATTTATGTATCACTACTACGTGAATAAAGTTTATTAATTTACGTGAACAAGGTTTGTTAATTTACGTGAACAAGGTTCATTAATTTACATGAACAAGGTTCGTTAATTTACGTGAACAAGGTTCGTTAATTTACGTGAACAAGGTTCGTTAATTTACGTGAACAAGGTTCGTTAATTTACGTGAACAAGGTTCATTAATTTACGTGAACAAGGTTTATTAATTTATGTGAATAAGGTTCGTTAACTTACATTATATTGCCCCATGCCAAAACCCGTAAATTTTGGCTTAGTAAAGTGCAGCAAAACCCAGTCTATTTACGGTCCAAAAAGTTCAGGTAAACAGTCCAATTCGTACCACCTTAGCCGTGCCAGCACAGATCACGCACATGCAAACCCGAGCATTTGGCCGTTCCATCATTGACCGTGCCTTCACATGAAAACACGTGCCTACACGGACCACTTTTCTTATAAAGATAATATTCCAAAAATACAAGATTATTCTAACAAATATCAATACAATTCTTGTCTCTTCAACATCTACCAAAACACAAATTGATTATAATTAAACAATCAATTTAAAACATAAAACACAAAAAGAAAACAACTAATTCAAACTTAGTATAAACCAATATGAATTACAAGCACTACAAAATATCTACTATTCTTTAACTAAACTCCTAATACCTGCTCTACTAAATATTCTAATTCTGTTATCTGATATAATCCTTATTCAAAACTCTATTAAAAACTCTACATACCAAACCCAACTAATGAATCTACATAACCAAATACTATCTCTTAACTCTGCAGATCTTCACTTTTATACAGATATCTCAATTAAAAACTCTCAAACACCAGATATCAAAACAGGTATTGCTTGGATCCTTCAAAATAATACTTGAATAAAATTTAATGTATCTATACTATATGCACCAAACTCTTCAAGTGTTGAACTTGCATTACTCATTTATCTATTCCTAGCTTTACCCTTAAATTTCAATATACATTTACATATCGATAACTTAGCTATAATTTAAATACTCAAAAATAACTTATCCTACAACTACCTAACTCAAACTAAAACAAATAACTAGGATATTGTTCATATTCTCAACTATTTAATTCAAAAGAAAAACATTCAACTTACTACTTACAAAGTCTTATCACACTCTAAAAACTTTTTTTATAATATTGCTAACTTTTTTGTCAAACAAGGCACTAGTAAAGCTGAAATCTAACTCAATACAGATCTATTTAACCTACCTCAATTTTTCACATAGAACCAAATACCCATACTATTCAAAATTCAAAAATTCTGTAAAAATATTATTTTAATTCAAATCTTTAACAAACTTTTACAATTTAAAACCTTCCATAATCTACAACAATTCAATATTATCTAATTCATTAATATAATCAACTTCCAAAATAATAATCTAAATTTATATTCCTTTAGAAACAAAATAATTCTAAATAATCTACCAATAATGACAAACTTAAATATTCACTATCTATATCTATATCTTATATCTAACTGCTCTTTTTGCAATTAATATAAAAATACTGAATATCTTCTCCTCTGTACACTTCACTCAATAGACTTACAAAACATACTTCTAAATCAAATAACAAATACTCTAGTTTGTAGTATTCAATAGTGTTTTGGAGAATTTGTATTGGAATATGAGTAGATGAGTTTTTGGTAGCAGCAAAGTTGAGATTTGAGA